ATTCTTAGAGCCGGGCCTGTAGGAGAGGGAGAAGTTAAAACGGCTGAAGAATAAGGCCCACCTGGCCTGTCTGGGATTGAGCCTCTTGGCAGTCTTCAAGTACTCCAGGTTCCGGTGGTCTGTCCACACCATGAATGGGAGCTTGGAGCCCTCCAGTCAGTGACTCCATTCTTCGAGCGCCAGTTTAACCGCCAAGAGTTCCCGGTTACCCACATCGTAATTGCGCTCAGCCTTAGACAGCTTTCTAGAAAAATAAGCACAGGGGTGAATGCGGCCATCACTGGATTCCTGGCTGAGAATAGCACCAACCCCAGAGCTAGAGGCATCAACCTCCACAACAAATTGTCTATTTGGGTCAGGGGAAACGAGGACGGGATGAGAGGTGAACAGTTCCTTTAGACACTTGAAAGCCTTGTCTGCATGTTCGTTCCAAGCAAATTTCATCTTGCTTGAGGTGAGGGTGTGGAGCGGAGAAGCAACCTGGCTGTAATTGCGGATGAATCTCCAGTAGAAGTTAACGAATTCCAGAAACCTCTGGAGCTGCTTACGGTCAACAGCAGTCTTCCATTCATCGCCCTCTTTTATACGGAAGAAATGATAGGCGTTTCAAAGGTCCAACTTTGTGAAAATCTTGGCTTTTTGGACCTGGTCAAACGGAATTCATTAGGGGAATTTGGTATCGGTTCTTAACCAAAATGTCATTGAGCCCCCTATAGTCTATGCAAGGCCGGAGAGAGCCGTCTTTTTTCCCCACAAAGAAAAAGCCTGCGCCTGCGGGTGAGGAAGAGGGGCGAATTATGCCTGATCTTAGGGACTCATTCATGTAGTCCTGCATGGCTTGGGACTCCGGAGGGGATAGGGAATAGAGACTACCTCTTGGTGGGGTGGTACCAGACAGCAGGTCCATCAGCACAGTCATACGAGCGGTGAGGAGGGAGACTTGTGGCCTTGGCTTTATTAAACACCTCCCTTAAATCATGGTATTCGGACGGAACTTTAGACAAGTCAGGGTAGTATTCGTTAGCCTTACCCTGAGATGAAGGGAGAGGCTGGGCAGAAAACAGACACGATTCGGAGCAGGAAGGGGCCCATCCCATCACTTCACACCATCGCCAATCTATCTGGGGGTTGTGTCTCCTGAGCCAAGTGGCGCCCAAAATAACAGGAACCTGAGGGGAATCAATAATCATAAAGACCAGCCTCTCTCTATGATTACCTCCCATTATTAGCTCCACTGGCTCCGAGACGATAATGATTCAGTTCGTGGCCATCCAGGGCGAGCACACTGCAGGGGGAAGAACC